TGCTGGTGGCTCACGCCTGTAATCCTAGCTACTCAGGAGGCTGAGATCTGAGGATTGCGGTTCAAAGCCAGCCCGGGCAGAAAAGTCCGAGAGACTTACCTCCAACTAACCACTAGAAAACTGGAAATGGCACTGTTGCTCAAAATGGTAGAACACTAACCTTGAGCAAAATTGCTCAGGGATAGTGCCCAGACCCTGAGTTCAAGAAAAAAAAAGGAATCTTGAAGATAAAGGAGAAGGCAAAACCTCCCAGTTCTAATTCCTCAGGCCACTGTGCAGCACACACACAGTGAAGGATCACAAACTGGCAGAACTGGAGTCTTAACAGTGCCATAAAGGTTTAAACTAGCTAGGAGAGAATGAGGGAAGGGGTGACACTGTCCAAAAAAAGAAATGCACTAGGGCTGGGAATGTGGCTTAGTGGTAGAGTGCTTGCCTAGCATGCATGAAGCCCTGGGTTCAATTCCTCAGTACCACATAAACAAACAAACAAAAAAGCCACAAATGGCACTGTGGCTCAAGTGGTAGAGTGCTAGCCTTGAGCAAAAGAAGCTCAGGGACAGTGCCCAGGCCCTGAGTTCAAGCCCCAGGACTGGAAAAAAAAAAAAAAGGAATACACTAGCTGGGCACCAGAGGCTCACACCTATAATCCTAGACACTCAGGAGGCTGAGCTCTGAGGATCACAGTTCAAAGCCTGCCCAGGCGGGAAAGTCCACAAGACTCTACTCTCCAATTAATCCCAGAAAATTGGAAGTGGTACTGTGGTTCAAAGTGCACTAGTCTTGAGCACAAAAGCTCAGGGCCAGAACCCAGGCCCTGAGTTTAACTCCCATGACCAACAAAAAAAGAAAGGAAAGGAAGGAAGGAAGTCTTTATTTGTAACTGTACATCACCTTTATAATAACAATATTTACCAAAGAAAAGGTTTAAGCTGATTTGGATGCAATATTTTAGGCATTTGGATCAAGGAACTCAGGAATAGTCTAAACAACTTTCTTCCTTCTACATGGTTTTGTTTGTTGTTGTTGTTGTTGTTTTGTTGCAAATGTGTACACCACAAGAAAATGTGTCACTATAAAGATAGCCCTGACCTGAGGGGCCTTCAGGACAATCATCCGCAAGAAACCTTTTATCTTGATATCCAGATAAGGATGCTGGGGGCTAAGAAGTTGCATGGCTTGTTTATGTTCACACAGGAAAGAGGATAGAAATTAAGAGTTCTTTTTTTTTCTTTCCTTCCTTCCTCCCTGTCCTCTTTCATTTCCCCTTTTTTTCCTCTTTTCCTCCCTCCAATCTTCTTCCTTCCCTTTCTTCCTTCTCTTTAATATTCCCCCAACCACATATTTTATTTTTACTTTATATTATTTCAAAACTGAAGAAAAGTCAGAGAAGTAAACACTTAGGTAGTCATGCAATGCAAACATAATAAACATTAACCTTTGCCAAGTTTGTTATAAATATTTTTCTATTTAATTTAATGTTAGAGTTCAGGTACAGCAGAGGCCCCTTTTTACTCCATCTTCCTATTTTAATTTTTAGACACTTAGTCTGTGCTTTCATGTCTCCCTTTCTAACTGTTCCTCAAAAGTATGTGGATTATTCTTGTACTTTTACATTTGAGTTTTAGATTCAGCTTAGCAAATTCTGCAAGAAACCTTGTCAGTGTTTATATGAAAAGGCCATTGAATTTACAGGTTAATTTGGAGACAACTGCCTTTTTAGGCGGCCCCGTCCTCTTGAACTTGGGCCCAGTGCTTCCTCTATTTACTTAGTTCTTCCTTTAATCCTGAAACTGTGTGGAAATTTCGGTCACATGTTTACAATACCTCCTCCTGTATGTTTATATTATCTAGCTTTTCAAACACAATAAACAATTCCCATCCACAAGGCTAGTACAAAAATTGTACTTCTCTGGAACCCATGTTGCTTCTAGATTTCTGCTCTAGCAGCCAGCCCTAGCCTGCCACCTTGGCTCATGGTCCAAGATGGAGCTCAGCTAATACATCATATTATGAGCAGATGAAAGGTGTTAGAAGGCTCCAGTCATTCAGCACACACTCGAATGTCACACTCAGCACCTCTCCTTACTTTTTGCCACCCCTTAATTTCAATAGCTACTTGCAAAGGGAATGGAGGCTGTCATGAACCCAGCTGAAAATTGAGAGGAGGGACTTCTTGTAGAAAAAGGAAAAAATTCCCAGGTGCTGGTGGCTCACGTCTGTAATCTAGCTACTCAGGAGGCTGAGGATCGAAGTTCAAAGCCAGCCTGGGCAGGAAAGTCTGTGAGATTCTTACCTCCAATTAACCTCCAGAAAAAGTGGTAGAGCACTGGCCTTGAGCTGAAGAGCTGAGGGACAGCACCCTGCCCAGAGTTCAGGCCCCATGATGAAAGAAAATAAGAAAAGAAAGAAAGAAAGGAAAGAAAGAAAGCGCGCACACAGGAATAGCACCCAGAGTTCAAGCAACAACAATAAGGGGCGGGGGGGGGGCA